GTGCGCTAGGGCCGAGGGGCGCCGCGCAGCATGAGGCGTAGCGTGGCGTCTCCCGTTTGGGTCGCGACCGCAGCGCCCGCGAGCTGGCGCGCAGGCGCCCCAGAAGGGGCCCTGTGCCGTCGCGTCTGCAGCGGGCGCGCGCTCGGTCGGCGAGCCCGCCCAAGACCCGCTCCGCACGCACCCCCGCCCCCCGTCGCACCTCATCCTCGCCGTCCCCACCCCCTTCTCCAGCCGTCGGCAAACCCTGAACGCCGAAACCGACGCCCACCATCACCCCAGATCACGGCGTCCGAGTTCTCCCCCGACGGCGCCTACCTGGCCACCGCCTCTGCCGACAGCTCAGTCATCGTGTGGCACGTCGATTCGGGCAAACCTGCCGCCATATTCGCGGGAGACACGGCGATCACCGCCCTCGCCTTCGCGCCGGCGCCGGCGGGCGCGCCGGCTGGGGCCACTCTGGTCGCCGGAGACGCGGCGGGGGAGGTGCACTTTCTGTGCGGCTTGCCGAGAGAGGGCCGCGGCGCGAGGGGCGACGGCGGCGGTGGCGAGGATGAGGGTGGGGAGGGCGACGGCGGCGCCTCGGCGGCGAGCGGCTCAGAGGGGGCGGCGCCCGGCGCTGCTGCGTGCATCTGAGGGGGCGGGGCCGCGAGAGCTTGCCTGGCGCCGCACGCTCTCACGAGCACCCTGTTGTTTTTATTGCAGCACTGCGCGAGGACGCCGCGCGACCGGATCCATGCCCGCCGGGCGTCGGCGCCAGGAGCTTAGGCGCCGACGCCTATTATCGAGCGTCGCGTCCGCGTGCGTGTGCGCGTCCTGACGCGCGCGCCCCTCTGGCCACACTGCCGTTTGCCGCCGTGCTGCCGTCGCACGTGTGTGTGTGTGTGTGTGCGTGCGTGTGTTTGGGTGTGCGTGTGTGTGTGTGTGCATGTACGTGCCCACAGCCTTAGAATCAAAGACCACGGCATCCTTTGGCTTTCGGCTTTCGACTTTCGAATCTTCGGGGTGAACGAATGCGCCCGGGCCGCGGACCGGGGGGCCGGCGAGGCTCCTGCGTGCCAGCTGCGGCCGCCCCTGCGCCCCGCGCCCGCTGCCGGCCGGGTGCGGCGAGGCCGCGGTCCACGCGGTGTCGTTTGGCGCCTGAGGGCCTCTCTTGGGCCCCGGGCGCCGCTACGGATTGTGGTTGGTTCTCGCGCGCCTATGCGGTGCTGCACCGCAGCTCGCGCCGCTGCACGTGTGTTGGGGGCGGCGCCGCCTGCCCTGGCTCCGGCTCATGTTGAGAGAGCCGCGGGCCAATCAGCAAACCCTTTTGACGAAGCGGCCGAGCGGCCGGCTGCGCCCAGTGTTTGACCCACTGGGCTTGGCAAGCCCCCGCGTGCACCCCGCCTTTCCGCCGCCCCGCCCCTTACCCGACGGCCGGCGCAGCCCCCGCGCAGGCATAAACGAGGCGAGAACCTGCCCACCCCACACCAGCGCGCCTCGGCCCTGCGCCTGTCACCTCTCACCCGTGCACCCACAGCGGCAGCCGGGGGTAAGTCCCAACACCCCTCCTATCTAGGCTCGCACCCGGGTGGGGTTTCTTTTGCACCCAAAACCCAACAGCCCCGCTGTAGCAAAGGGGCGTGTCAGCACGGCCCAACAAACCCGCGGTTTGGTTTTTGGTAGCGTCCTCGCTCCGCGCCGGTTTTTCCTCAACTCGGGGGGTTGATTCTGGCGCAACCGCCCATCACGTGTGCAAGTAGCACACGTTGAGGCGCCGCGATTTGCAGCATAAGCTGAGGCGGGGGGCGGCAAACAAAGCCAGCAGCCGGCCCGTCGCGAGGCGAGAAAGAGGCGGAGAGAGGCGAGGCGGGCTGTGGGGTTTTGAGCTTGGGATACATTGCTGAAATCGACCTTGGGGCCGCAGTTGCGGCATCCAATCCCCCTGCATCGCAGCCCCCGAGGCCTGGGGCAGCGTTTGACCGCCACTAGCGCGCCCCCCCTTCACCCACACGCCTCCCCACATCAAACCGCCGCGTCGTCGCCGGCCGCGCCGCGCCGCGCCGCGTGCCCTGCGAGCCGCTTGCATGCCCTCGGGCCGGCGCGCACAGCACGCGCCCCGCTCGCTTGGGCACGCAAGGCGGGGCTGCGGAGGCGCGCGCGGCGCGCCAAGGCGGCCATGCCAGTGTACATACGCATGCGACTAGGCGCACTCACTGTGTTGCACCTTTCAGCGGCCTTGCAAACAAAGTCTGGCCGACAGGCCACTGTATGAGCGCGCGTGCCCCGTTGTTTCGCCGCGCATGCATCCGCGCGTGCGTGCATGTGCGCGTGCACCCCCACACCCGTTTCTGTGCTTGCGCGGCGCCCCGAGCGCCTGCCCGCACCAAAGCTGCACTCCCTGTTGATCAGGCGCACGCGCCGCGGCAGCCGCCCCTGCACCACGCCCCCCTCACCCCTCCTGCTGCTGCCGCGCCCTGGCCTCCGTTTTGCTGGCGCCGTTTTCTTGCATCGCCGCGAGGCCCAGCACGGCCGGTGTCTGGCAGGCACGCGCCGCACATCAGTGCACTGATTGCTTTGTTTTTCAAACGCATCTGCTGATAAATTGTGCGCATGGCACGTGTGCGGCTGCTGCGCAGCTGCTTCAGGACAAGGGTGCATGTCCCAAGTAGGGGCCAATCGGGGTCTTGCACGTTCCAACCATCCCACAAGGTCGAGCCGGACCGAGGTTACACCACTGCGAGAATGTGTAACCCAGTTTACAAAGTTGCAGGTGTATCTGCAAATGTTAATTCTAGACAAGCCAGGTTGGCGCAGACAGGTTGGGTGGCTGAGCACCGGCAGTTATCCAGGCCGCGGCTTGGGCAGCCATGGGGGGGGGGAGAGGAGCCGTATGCATAGCAGAACAACAGGGCATACATGGTGATCAGGACGGACGACTAGGGGCAGGCAGGCTGTTTTGTGGCCAATGTTTGCCGCATCTGGCGCTGGCCACCCCCCGGGTGCTTTGATCGGCGCACGGTAGCCACCTGAACCTTAGTCACACAATGTTGGTGCTTCAATGTTCAATCCCATCAGCCTGGATGGCTCAAGGAGCGGGCGATCGCGGGACGCTGTGACAATCCTAATCCCAACTCTAATCCTGTTTCACAGCAGCGCACACCCCGACGGCGCGCAGCAAACGGGGGCCTGCCGCTGCCAGCAATGGGCTGGCGCAGTTGCTGGAGGCGCCGGCTGGTCAACTGGTGTTTCGTTGATTGGGGTTGACCGGTGTTGGACCCGGGGTGGCGCGGCGCGCCAATTGCGGGCACAGCTCCTGGTGGGAGTACGACACGATCAATCAAGACCAGCACAGCAGCTCCTCTCATGATAATGGCCAATGTCACACTGGCTTGCCCTCTGTAGTAGTGGTTTGGGTTGCCGCAACAAGGGGGCGAGTTGACCAGACCCTGACGTGCAACTGTCGGCCCTACTGCTGCATCAATTGGTACAAAGCAGCATGCGAACTACCAGGCAAGAGACAGTCAATCGTCGAGCTTTGTTACTAATCTCAGTGGTCTGAAGTTGTTGGTTCTTTTGGATTGTGCATGTGGGTTTGCGCGCATGATTGCAGCACAACAAAGCCCAAGCCCCAAGATCTTGATGCCCCCAATCAACTGAGAACAGATAGGAACCATGGTGCAAGCTATTCGCGCGCGCCTGCAACAGCAACTCAAATTGGTGCGCATGCTATCTGCTGGCGGCCGCCGCGCCGCCCCCGCCGCTCGAAGCGCCCGGCCGCGGCGACGAAAGCGCCCCGCTTGACAGGGAGTCCCGTGGCGGCCTCGCCTGCTGCTGCTGCTGCTGCTGCTCCACTGCTGCCGCCTGCTGCTCGGCCGGCTGCTGCTGATACAGCTGCTGGTACTGCTGCTGCTGTTGCCGGCCGTCTTCGCCGTCCGTTGGTATGTGCAGCCGGTCCAGCACGACCCTCCTCTGCCGCTCCTCCTCCTCCATATGATCCTCCTGCCTCGAAACGAAGCTGCTCAGCAGCTGCTCGAACGGCGCCCACGGCGGCGGCGGGCCGAGCTGCGCGGCGGCGGCCGCGGCGGCGGCGGCGGCGGC